GGTGAATGGGCGGGGAGCGCAGGCTGTCAACGAGCTAATACCGGCACGCCACCCACCACTTCCACTTTAGCCACGCCCACCGCGTGCTCTGATTGGCGGATCAGACGGCGGGAAATTTGAACGGGGTTGATGGTATATGTTGATTGGGCCCCGCTAGATGGCGCACCCGACCGGAAGTGATTCAGACAGCCGACGATAGTAAGGTGTAGTATACAGGGGGATCCAAGAATGTTTTATATAGGGTGAGTCAAAAGTTTGGCTCTCGCGCGCGCGTGCGCATGCACATGTGCATGGGGCCTTCGTGGTAGGTGTTGGGGCAGGTGATGCGCGGGTAAGTTTGCGTTGTGTGCTTTGGGGGGTAGGGATATTTTTCAACAGAATAGATAGGAAAACACGTCTATGCGTAAGTGGTGTAGCTCAGTAGAGTATAGGTTACCTTGTACGCCTCCCACCACATCCACTTTGGCCACGCCCACCACATCCACTTTGGCCACGCCCACCACGTGCTATGGTTGGCAGACCAGACGGCGGGAAATTTGAACGGGGTAGATGGCATATGTTGATTGGCGGGCTCCGCTAGATGGCGCATGCGCACACGTGCGCGAGAGCCAAACTTTTGACTCACCCTATATAAAACATTCTTGGCTGCCCCTGTATACTACACCTTACTATCGTCGGCTGTCTGAATCACTTCCGGTCGGGTGCGCCATCTAACGGGGCCCGCCAATCAACATATACCATCAATGCCGTTCAAATTTCCCGCCGTCTGATTCGGCAGTCAGAGCACGCGGTGGGCGTGACCAAAGTGGAAGTGGTGGGAGGCGTACAAGGTAACCTATACTCTACTGAACCACATCACTTACGCATAGACGTGTTTTCCTATCTATTCTGTTGAAAAATATCCCTATCCCCCAAAGAAGTACACAACGCAGACTTACCCGCTCATCACCTACCACGAACGTCCCATGCACATGTGCATGCGCACGCGCGCGTGAGCCAATCTTTTGACTCACCCTATATAAAACATTCTTGCCTCCCCCTTTATACTACACCTTGCTATCGTCGGCTGTCTGAATCATTTCCGGTCGGGTGCGCCATCTAGCGGGGCCCGCCAATCAACGTATACCATCAACCCCGTTCAAATTTCCCGCCGTCTGATCCGCCAATCAGACTACTAGCGACTAAGTCCGAACTGAGCACGTCTAGTCGCTGCAGATAACTGAGTAGATATTTTTTTTTTTTTTTTTTTGGTGAGGGGGGAATGCATTTACGCACCATACCATAGCCCGTGCTACGGCGTGTGTGGGACTCCAGGGTCTTGGGGAGATCACCTAATACCCACTAAACCCTAAACCTCCGCGTGGCCCGACTCATCAGCGTCTCGGTAGGCCATGTGTTGTGCGTGACCTGCGGTCTGCTACAACGTCTCCTCATGTGTTTCAGTCTCTGGGAACTCCGGGTTGGATCCCTTTACCTCGCACATTCTATCGATGTCGTTAAGCGATCATCTATAGAGGGTCTGCTAGTTTCTCTTGAAACTCTTGTTTTCGAAAAATCAAGAGTTTCAAGTCCTCTTACCAATACGTTGTTCCTGGTCCTGGTCCTGAAGGGTCCTGGTCCTGGTGGGTCCTGGTCGTGGCGGGTCCTGGTCGTGGCGGGTCCTGGTCCTGGTTGGTCCTGGTCCCGGTGGTTCCTGGTCCTGCATCCACGCCGTGGGGGGGGGGGAGCAACCGCGAGTTCTCCTAGTCTCCTAGTCAAGGTTCCAGTTAGCGGGTGCCAACTGGGACCTTGGTCTGGGGTACCTGGTTCTGCGGTTGCGAGGCCTCTCGTCCGGATCGTAGTCCACGAGGAATCGTAGCTGCTCGTTCGGGTGGTCCTGAGCTTTCTCGAAGGTCTTCTCCGCTTTTTTCCTCATGTACTCGTGGATGGTGTCCCAATGCAGGTCTCTACGCAAGGTTGAGTTTCTTACGTAGGATGGTGCACTGGTGGCGATCCGGAGTAGCTTCATCTCTAGAGCAGCAAGTCGCTTGCGGTAGCTGGGGGCAGCGTACCCCCAGACCGCGGAGGCGTAAGCGAGCTGAGGTCTGGCGATGGCCTTGATCAGCCGTAGCTTGGTCGCTAGCGGCATCCGGCTGTGTCTACCCAGTAATGGGTAGAGTTGAGCCATGGCTGCTCTGGTCTTTGCGATGACAGCTTCTATGTGGGCTTTCCAGGTGAGGGACTTGTCAAATACGATCCCCAGATATTTGACTTTGTCGCTCCACTGGATATCTTCGTCGAAGATGGATGCTTCGAGAGGTCTTGCAATCCTTCTTCGTTGAATGAAGATTGCCTGCGTCTTCTGGACGTTGATGCGGATTTTCCATTTCACGCACCAGTCCTGGATATGGTCCAGTTCATCCTGTAGTCTCCTACGGATGATCTCGGGTCGTCTATGCTTGGCGGCTATAGCAGTGTCGTCTGCATATAGGGCCAGCATTGTGTCAGCTGTCTTCGGCACATCGTGAGTATAGATGTTGTAGAGCAGGGGGGCTAAGGCTCACCCCTGGGGCACGCCTGCTTCCAGCTGTCGTCTTGTTGAATGGCATGTACCAATCTTCACCGTGAACCATCTTTGTGTTGGATAGCTCTGGATCAGTTGGCACATGTTCGTATCGATTCCGGCGGCTTCCATTTTGGCGATGAGTCCATCGTGCCAAACTCGGTCGAAGGCTCGTTCCATGTCCAGCAGGACGAGACCGGTTGCCTCCTGGAGATTGAAGCCGCTGGTGATGTTTTCCGTCAGTCGTAGCGCTTGGAGTTCCGTGTTGTGGGAGGATCTGAAGCCGAATTGCTCTGGGGGGAGAAGTTGCAGTTCTTCTGCCTGCTTCTCTAGTCGAACCGCGATAGCCTTTTCGACTACTTTGCCCATCGAGGAAACCAGGCTGATGGGCCGGTAGTTCTGGGGCAACTTCCGGTCCTTGCCTGGCTTGGTGAGCATTATAACCTGGGCTTCCCGCCACCGCCGCGGGAAGTGGTTAAGTCTCAGAGTGGCATTGGCGATGTTGGTGAGCGCAGCAATGCGTTTGGTGGGAAGGTTCTTCAGCATCCTATTGTTGATGCCGTCCCTTTCCGGCGCCTTTCTGACCTTCAACCTGCGGATGATCAGACGGATTTCCTCTGGACTGGAGGGGTGATCCGTCTCCTGGCCAGGTGGTCGACTCCTCATGATTTCGGCTGCGACTTCCACGGCCTCCTCGTGGTTGTCGTCCTCGTCTTCATGGTAATTGAGTCTGCATTCGGATTCTAGCGAATCGGCGAATGCTTCGGCTTTTTCTTCACTGGAGTAGGCCAAGCCGCGTTGGCCGTGAAGAGTGGGGATCGTGGTGCGCTGACGACGGAATTTTCGCTGCATAGTCCAGGCCGTACCATCCCGGGTCTCTAGTTCTGCACAGGCTGCATTCCATCTGCTGTTTTGGAGTTCCGCGAGTGCGTTCTTCAGAGCTAGCGATGCTCTGTTTCGCGCAACTCTCGACTCCTCTGTCAGCAGCTGGAGATGTTCTCGCTTGAGTCTTCTGTTCTCCCTGATCAGGTGCCTAATATGGTGCGGTGCTGGACCATTTAGGTGTCTAGGAACTGCCGTAGTCTCGGAGCGGGTGCTGTCCTCGTGCGCTCGCAGGACAGCATTCTCCAGCTCCACTACCGCGTTGTCCAGTTCCTCCGCTGATCGGATGGTTGGAATTTGAGTGATGTTCCTTTGGACGTTGGATTTGTACAGGTTCCAGTTCGTCCGTTTGGTGCTCAAGCTATCTCGAGTTCTAGACCCTGTGCCAAGTGTTAGTAGAATCGGATTGTGGTCCGACGATCCTTCCACCAGGGTCTCTATCTCAAACTCCTCTCTGATGTTGCGGAGGATGGCTATGTCCAGTACCGCAGGTTGCTCCGGACCGACGATGACCCCCGCCAGGGCATCGACGTGTTCTTGGAGCTGCCTTGCATTCCTGTCTTCGACGTTGTTGTTCCATGCCGGAGATTTGCAGTTTAGATCTCCGATGACTATGCGTGCTCCTGAGCCTCTCAGGAGGTCAGCGATGTCATCTTCGTCTAGGGCCACCCCTGGTGGCACATATAGGGAGGTGATTCTGTAGGTACGGTGGTTGTGATGGACCTGGACCGTGACTCCGTCCCCATTGATGTCTGCGGCATCGTCGAGGGCATGACTCGTCAAGGTACGTTTGACGAGTAATGCGACTCCTCCACCTCTGCCTCTTCTGTCGTAGCGGTACGTCTCGTACCGCGGGAACGTTAGACTATGGGCAGCATCCAATTTCGTTTCTTGGATGGCCATCACCTCTGGTTGGTACTGGTCTAGTATCTCCTGGATTTCTGGTTTCCGTGCCCTGAATCCGTTGATGTTCCAGGAGATAATGCGTAGAGATTCTACGTTTTGCCCTGTAGTCATTTCGGGTCTAGTGCTTGTCTTGCATCTTGGCCTCGAGTGCATCCAGGCGGGTTATGATGGCTTGCATCATTGCTAGCAGTCTGTCATCGCCGTGTTGCTTCTGCGCAGTAGTTCCAGTAGCAGTGGCGGCTGCTGGAGCAGAAGTGGACATAGGTTTCTTCGCTTTTTGAGCGTAAGAGGTCCTATTTGTGGTGGGGGCTGCTTTGGGGGCAGAAGCAGCTTTTTTCGGGGCCTTACTACATCCCTTGTAGTTGGCGGGGTGGCCTTCTCCACAAAGGCAACACTTGGCGTTTCGTTGCCCTGTTGGCGGCGCTGGCAGACTGCAGCTGGTGCTGTTGTGGTCCTCTCCACACTTAACGCACCGTTCAGCGAGACGGCAGTTCCGCTGTGTGTGCCCGTACCGCTGGCAGCGGTAACATTGGCTGGGCTCGGAAGAGTTTTTCTTCCTCTCGAAGCTGACCGTGAGCATGGCCAGCCTCTGGATCTCTGCAAGCTTTTCCGGCATCTTCGTCTTGACGAGGAAGAGCGGAAGTGGCTTCTTGGTGGTCCTTGAGGTCATCTACTGAACCTCGGCGTCTGCGATGCCTTGGCTCACTAGATCCTCTTTGATGTCATTGACTGACATCTCCCTGGGTAGCCCACGAATGACCCTCTGGTCCATCCTGTCCTCCTTCAGTTGATAGGTGAAGAAGGGCCGCTTGATGGATTCCAGCAGTGCGACTAGCTGACCGTAGTCAGCTGGTGTATTTGTGAACTCCTTCACACTGTTACCCGCCGTCCTCGCCTTGGAGAATTGAATCCCCTTGCTGTTCATCATCCTGCTTAAGGATGACCAATCAGCGGTGCCCTCGATATTGATTGGCGGAACTCCTGTTCCTGCCATGGGGGCCTCGGTGGTCCTGGGTGCTCTAGGACCTCTCTTCTTGGTGGCAGCTGGCATCTTTGGCTGCCTGGATGGTTCTTCTTCTTCGGAGGAGGAGGAAACTCTCACTCGTTTTCTCCTCCTGGTGACGACACTGAAGTCTGCGTCATCGGTCCTCTTCTCGGCTTCTTCTTCGTCGATATCTTGGGCATCCATGTCCCTGTTCTCCGTAGGCTGCTGGTCCTCGTCTCCCTGGTCCTCACCTTCTTCTTCTTCCTCCGTCTTCTTCGCTTTCCTCTTCGCTTTGAGGAGCTTCCTTTTCACTTCATCTATCTCATTCCTCGCCTGCTCGAATGCTTCTTGCAGATTTTTCATCTGCTCAGCAAGCATTGCGAAGTTATCCTCCTTCTGCTTCAGCTGGCTCGCCAGTTTTTCTATTCTCGCCATCGTGGATGGCGATCGTACCGTGA